AAATTATTTTTTTCAATCATTGGACAATAAATTCTTTGGCGTAGCATATATGTATCAAAATTTGAAGAAGCCGGCATGGTTTTGGACCTTTGGTTCATCTTTTGTCTCATTAGGAACATATTACGCAAACATCCTCCACGAGAATGGAAAGGGGAAGAAAATTTTCAAATTTTGCTGTCCGTCAATATTTGAAAAAAATAATACTCTTTATCAATTTATGTTCTTGCACTGGCTCGCAACATATGGCTGTATATGACTTTTTGTTATTTGTTTAATGTAATTAGTCAAATTGATCTCATAAATTCAGATTGCTGCAAAGATAATTTGACAATCAACCCTCGCCGTTCCGAATTAAAAGCTTTAAAATTCCTTAAAAAAATAGTAGGGTTGACAGCAACAATAGAATATCTTAATCCACCGAAGGTGATTTCCTAGTGATCGACCAAAGAAATGAGGGAGGTGAGATGGAGATGTTGGACATTATCACCTATTTTCTTAGAGTAAAATATTTGAATCCTTCTGTTTGAAACGAGATCAAGAAAAATAAATTCGGGTTTAGGGATTTATCAATGACAATGCACTGACCTGATTGGTGAAACCGATCCCAACCCCAAGCAAGATCCGAGCCGTAATAAGCATGTACACATTCATCGCAGCTCCTCCGACGGCAGATCCGGCCAAAAATAGCAAACCTCCGATCAGCATCGACTTCCTCCGGCCGTATTTATCTGTAATCACCGAAGCAAACAGGGATGCAACGAGACCAGCGATGTAGAGTGAGGATGTGAAAGTCGTTAGAATCACGCTGTTGAATTTGCAGTAATTGCTGGTGTGACTGGACAGCATCTCATGATACACATGGGGGAAGAACCGTTTCAGAAATGAGGTGGTCGCCGAGACCCCGCCTGACAAAAATTGTCCACCAGATTCAATTGAAGAAGAGAAAAGAAGAAATTCGTTGAGAGATTGGAAGGACCTGAGATGCCAATGTCGTAGCCGAAGAGGATGCCGCCGGAGGCCGCCACTATACAGGAGAGGACGACGAAGGAAGTGACCTTTCCTTCGTAGGCTTCCGGCCGGCGATCGTCTTCGCTGTTAGCGATGAATCTGGTCGGAGGGGGCGCGGCAGAGGGGTCGTTCGTTGCCATTGGGGATTATGGGTTTCGTCTCAATTGTCGGAGTGAGAATTTTCTTTTATAAGCTTTAAGAGAGTGACGCCTTCTTATCGTCAGTTGGTTTTGACGAAGAAGGGAATGGATAAACTCCCTCTAATTATTTGTAGGCATTAATTTTGAGTTTAATTAGAGGATAATGTAAAATTTTTTTATTAATTATATTTATTTTAAATTAAAT